CAGCATGTCAAACAGCTCGGTGTCTCCGAATGGCAACAGCAAAATCGCTTTCTGCTTTACAATCAGTAGCTCTTACAGCAATTTCTTTTAACTGTCTGTTGTTGTCAGCTACGTACAACATAGCTGTATGTTGTACATACAACATATGAGTATAGAGCATGTCAGATCCCTCACTCAGGATTATCTTCTGCACTTGCTCCAACATCTGTAGAGACCACCAGGACTTTATCATTTTATCAGAAGTGCAGTGGGCCCGTCATAGGGAAAACCAAAACTGGTCCTACTGCAACCTAGTTTTTCTGTCCAGATTATTGAATGAAGTATAGATTATCAAAGTTTTAGATATACCCTGTCTTTAATTTTAGATTATAATAATGGTTTTGTTTTTGGGGGGAGGGGGTAACTTAAAGCAGGAATATTGCCTCAAATCGTAACTCTCAGCCTCCTTCCAAGCACTTGTTTTCCTAGATATCATCTTCTTTAAAAAAAAACCAAACAAACAACCAACACCAAAAAGCAAAAAACTAAGAACACCAAACAAAATAAACCCCATCTCTCATCTAGACTTTAAACCCAGATTCTTATTCCCCATATAAGCACACAGCTCTCACTAAATCAGAGACCTCCATCCAAAGGCAGAATTTGATTCAGACCTGGTCTAGTATAAGCACAGACTGATGGTCTCATTTTTTCCTCAGCCTTAGCTCTTTGACATTTTGCGCTGTAGCAAGGTCAAGGCCTCTTCCTGCTTGGACTGGGCACCTAGCTTCTGCTTTCAGACCACAAGAACGACCTCTAGCTTTCATCTAATTATGGACACCACTAAATACTGATTTCAATCCACAAGCAGGCAATTAGGGATCCAAGTACACAAATATGCTCTGACAAAAAAAGGCTGGATGACCTTTTGACAACCTCCTTATTGGATGTGAGGGACAAACGGGACAGGATCCCACCAGGTAGAACTTCTTACATCATGGTGTCAGCAGACTGACCCCGACCCCCCATTCCTCACTTATTCAGTATGTTTTTAGAACAATTGAGCCTTGGTCTACACAAGCTGCTTATCTTTCTCACTTTCCCAATAGCACTAGCTAAATTAACCGAAAACATGAAGACTGCCATAATTCTACCAACTATTTAATCAGACTGTGCTCAGCCACGGCGTTTCATGTGTTGCTTTCTCATTCTGTGCAAGGAACAGAATATTTCAAAATTATATCCAAAGCATCTTCAAAATTACAGTAAGACTTACATTAATCCTTCCTCATCAATTGTGGACGTTTTCATCTATCTTTCACCCATTTCCACTTATTTTTGAATATTTAGGCAACACCCACCATACTGCTATCTTGTAACTGGGACAGAAACTTTTAACTTCAGTGCTAGGAGCAGAGTTCATCATTCTTATGGATAATTGTCACCAAAGGGAAAAAAAGGAAGGAGGGAAAAAAAAAAAAAAAGGAAGCAAGCTTGTTTCGGGCAGGGGGGAAATCCCTCAAAACACAGAGTTTCTTTACATCTCTGTAATAATTAAAAGCAATGTCAAAGAGTAAATTTAGGGTGAAGAACTGATAAGTACAGAGGAAAAAAAGCTGTTTGCTAAACTGGTCTTTTAAACAGAGTAACTCTCGAGAGAAGCCCTGACTACTGTTGGTTTAAGGCCTATACACTATACTGTGACAAAAGGGAACACTTTGAGAAAGGTACTGTCAAACAACCCTTGCACTCGACAATAAGCTGTCTGGATTTCTCAGTATTGTATGTAAAAGCCACACACTTATCTTCTCTTCACTTACCCATTAAAGTAACTAAAACTTTTGTGACTCATATTTAGTCATTTTTTTGGCAGCTCAGTCTGGCTTGAACAAGTCAAAACCACCAAGCAGAAATTCACAACCAAGAAACATTAAAGTGAAACAACGCAGACCTTTAGAAAAAGGAAAGCAATGTCCTCAAGAAATAACTTGTACCTGGGAACTCACTGAACCACCTACAACCCTTACATATACATAAATTTCCAACCTATTTTCCCTCTAGGTCCAAAGCTATTTCTTGAAGAGCGCAGGCAAACAAGTTCAGAGGAAACACTAGGAAACCATGCAGTCAGGACGGGCAGCCCCGCATGGGCGAGCCCCGGAGGCAGAGGAGGCAATGTTGCTCCTAAGGCTGCCATTTATTGTCACAAGCCCTGCGAGCTGGGTTAGGATCACAAGAGGAAAACACTGAATTACACCAAAGGTGCTGGAGAAATGCAGCCAGAATATGGAACTAAGGAGAAATCACATCCCTTTATGATTCAGGGTAAATGCAGTGAAAATAAGGAGGATATATTTCACTCCAAAAGATCTGCAGGACAAGGACACCACAGCAGTAAGGCACAAAAATTCTAAGATGACTTTTTTTTTTTTCTTTTTTTAAATCTCCGTAATTTAACACTGAGTTTAAAGCTTATGGGACCACCTCAGTGCTAACTACAATGTATCTTCAGTGAAATTTATTAACCTATTCGTCAGTACTCTTGAGTTTCATAAAATGCAGCACTGCAATAATACACATGACTATCACAAAAAAATCCAACCAATCGCTATGGTCGTCCAAAAATAATATACCAGAAAAACACTACAACATGACGTATTTAATGTTTCTTTTCAGCACCCTCCTCAATATATTTGGATAAGATTGTCTGGCTACACTGTACTTCCAAACCTATCTTTATCTCATTACACATGCAGACCTATTCAGAAAGTACATGCTGGCTCCTGGAACTGCAAACCAGCTGACATAATCTTGGGGCTGTAACAAGATTTGAACTTCCTGAAAGACAATCAAGACAAATTTAATTTAATAAATAATTTAATAATAAAGTAATAAAATAAAATAATAAATTAATACATAAATAAAAAATGTAATAATAAAACCCACATCACACAGCAAAATCATATTATTGCAATAGATGCTAGGATACACTACCCAGAGAGAAAGTTCAGCTTCTCACACTAGCAAAATGGGGGGGGGGGGAAGAGATTTGATTTCAGAAGACACCAATTCCTAAAAGCATCTTCTTAAAATAAAGTTTTTAGCTCAATGGCTTACTTCCATATGGTTAGTTTCTGTTGGTGGTGGGGGTGGTTTGTTTGTTTTATATTTCTTTTGAACAAGCTGTGACCACTCATTAATGACAATGCAACAAGATGAGTTTGCAGTTTCCTTATTATGATGCCGTGGGCATTGGCACTAAAGCTCTGTTTTATCACTCATTGAATCCAGTGGAACATCTCTAATTTCAGACTGTGGACACCAAGCTCTTAAACACAGCACAACTACAGAAGCCACACCAAGAAAGAGACCACTGTGATCTCCCTGAATTCTGGATGCTTTAGGGTATATCCTAGTAACAAGAAAAAGCAATCAATGTGGAAGGAAGTTCTAATTCTTCTTAATCCATACCTGGATGATGTCAAATGAGATCTGAGTAAGATGAAGGCACGCGCAATAGCGTGGTGAGATCACTCAGATCTTCTCTGGTATCAGCAGATCATTTTGTCAACTGTGAGGCTCAGTGCCCTGGACCTTATCTGACACTGGAGCAGAAGAGCTGCAGGGCTATCCAGTGTTCGGATTATGAGGCCACTTGGATACTCAGGTAGTGTAAACAGCTATCAGGCTTCATTATTTTGAATTTTCAGTTAGCTGCAAAACCCAGCTGAAGGGCAAAGACATCACCCAGCCACACTAGATGAATGCCAAAAAAAGGAGTAAACCCCCAGACTGAAGGCCAGACTGTCCTATATGGCACTTTTATTTTGCTTCTAGTCTGAATTTTCTGAGAGCATCTCTGGCCAGTTTCGTCCCAGAAACTTCTTTCAGCCGTAAAGAAAATCCTTCTTTCTCATGTTTGTGTGTCCTTGTCTAGTTTCATTATGGTTAATACTCTTTTACTTTTGAGTATATACGAGCTACTACTCAAGTACATTTATATCATGGTACAACTACTGACATAGAACATAATTTGTGGTACTGGTTTGGTTTTCTATGCACCCCCAAAAGCTGGTATTTGTACAGTGTAATCTTCAAGTTCTTTGCATGAAGCCGCACTTACTATTTGCATCCTTGCTTTCAATAACTTAGCATTTCTGGTTCTGACAAAATCCTCCTCCTTATTTTTGTATTTGTTTTACTCCTCAATTTGCAGTTTAAGTTTTGGCAGCTAAATACATCAAAGTGACATTTTTAAAGACAGCTACATACATCAGCCTAAGAAAATTCAAGTGAGCAATCCACCACAACTATGCATTCATTAGCACTCTCTGTTTACTATGAGATCATCCAGCAGCAAAGATCCCTTGGTGTGACTGTTCTCCCCTCGCTCATAACCCCTCAAAACACTGAAGGAACTGTCCCAGTTTGCAGCCTGGGTTTCCTGGTTAGATGAAAATTGCACACATTCAGTTGGGTCACAATACAGTAAATCATCTTTCTAATCCAGTAACACACCTTTTCCGCATCACTCTCCAAACCCTACCTTTGCCAGTTATCTTTTAAGTGCAAAGAACAGAATGTAAACCTCTGATTACCTGTTTAACGCCAAAATATCAGCTAGCTAAAAATTGTTTCCAGCCAACTGACTTTAAGATATGACTGTCTCACTGTTTATTCCATAGCTACCAATCCCACTCCAAGAAGTTATTTTGCTCTGTGCCCTTTGACATTTACAATTATCCGGTGAAAGCTTTAGAATGCCTTTCCTTTCTTAGAATTACAGATTTTCAGTACAATCTGCAAGAAAAGCTGGACAAGGAAGAGACTATCAATATTTGAATTTTCCAATTCATCCTGCTCAGTGGTGAGTATTAATCCCCCCTTAATTTTCCTGCATAACATGCAAGAATTGGGACCAAACGGAGAAACATGTTACAAGTCACTTAACACGGCAAGTTGCAGCAAACCTGTGAGAGATTCAGAGCAATAAAACCAACTTTTGGATGCATTTCCTTTACCTCTCAGAATGTAGTTCTGATAATTCTGGTCGGCCTCTGCTCCCACTTTGATTAAGCAAGTCAGACCTTCAGCGACAACAAACTCATGAACCAAGTCCTTGTCATCCTGCCGCAGGAGAAAGGAAAAGCTGCGTTAGAATTTCGAAAGACAAAGAAACAGGCTATATCTTAATGTAAAACCAAATGCATGCCTGCAACATTGACTTTATGTTTCAGATGATGTAAGCAAGTTGATATGAAAGTTGTTACATAGAAGACCAGAAGCATAATTCTAAATTTTAAAATGAGAATTAAATACATTGATGCAAAGCAGGAAAAAACAAGCTTTTACCTTGAAGTCAACTACAGAAGATTAATATCTGTAAAATATGACTTTTGATTTTTTCATTAAGGGCTTTCAGGCTTTCTATCTGATATTAAAATCTCATCATATCACATGAACAGACATTCTTAAAGTCTTAAAATCTCAGTATTAACAAGAGAAGGCCATCTATGTGCCTTAGCATAATTCCAGTTTCAGTATTTGAAGTGCATACAACAAAACTTTTAAAATTGGTATTTATTGCAATGTAGTATTATATTCATTATCTTAATGTAATATTAATTCTTTATATTTAGAAGGGGAAAGTATAGTATTGAATATAAAAACACTAGTAGATAATATTCCCACATTATGATGGAAAACACAGGGAATGTAAGAGAAAATGCTCCTTAATATTTGATGAAAGTAAAACTTGTTAAAGCAACTCACTTTTTTTTTTAACCATCAGTCCTCTACTCAGTGCAGCAGAATGACCCTATATCACGTACCAGGGAAAGGAGGGCTTTGCTGGGCGCTACGTGCATAATACTATGCCAAGGAACTATAGAGCACCGTATCTAAAGCTTGCCTTCTCCTCTTACAGAAGGCTCATGTAGACAAACAAAAGGCTACTAAAAACTTGACTAAGCAGCACTTAATGAATTAGCCATAGAAATTAGGCACAAAACCAATTTAAAATATTAATGGAAGAGAAGTACTCTGCGGACAAAATCATCAGAGTTGCCGAGTCCCTTCTTTTAATTATTTTTAATATACGTTTTGATACACAACAGCGTATTACATAGAAATTTCAGCTTTCCAAAAACACAGCCCTGAGAAACCAAGATCCAGACAGTAGGTAGGGGTTTTTTTATTTTACTTTTTCTTTAGATAGATAAAAGCCTTGATAATGTTTTCTGAAGAGCTAGGAAATTTACAAACTCCCATGTCGGACCAGGGCACTACAGACACAAGCACTCAATTTTAGGAAGATGACAAATTTCCTCTATCTATCCATTTGCCATAGTCAAAACACGATGGGATCGCTAGCAGAGCAGAGGAAGAGTACACAATCTGCCTGTTAATACAGACGGCACTAATTACATCCTGATTTCCTCTGTTGTACGTGACAGTGTTTTAAAGGCGCATGCACAGATCCCCCCTTCACTGCAGCCCACCAGGGAATTCCCTGTGCCACTCCAGAAGAGAACTGAAGAATTAAGACGGCTTTTTACGTTGAACAGCTAAGGACCTTTATACAGCAGGGGACCTTTGGCTGGCACAGAGGCTGCTGTGCCTTTGGCCAAGCGGCCAACCTAAAAAGCACGTACCGATGCATTGGACAGGGCCCTAGGAAGGGTCACGGTCAGCCAGGATACGTGGACCTCTTCCTGTCCCATCCCAAGCAGTGGCCTCTGGCAAAGCCCTTCCCAAATGCCATCACTGAGAGGACCAAACTCTTAATTCTGAAGCAATTTATCTCAAGTTAATTTGTACAGCAAGCAATGCCAAAATTACAAGGTGAATTTCCAGAACAACATTTTATAACAACTAGAGTCCTGGAAAGATAAGAAAAGGACACAAGATAAAACACTTTCAGATGATGAAAGCCATATCTCAGGTTCATTCCCCCCAGACTTGGGATACTTGATTTAAAATCAAGCAACTACAAATAAATACATAAATAAATATGCATGCATGCAATACACAGATCCAAATCATAGTGGATAGCAAGCAACATTCAAGCTCATCTTGTATGATGGAGAGACACCTCTAACAGAGCAAGGAGGCAGAACCATACCCAGGGACCCCAGAGGAGTCTCCTCCCTGGCCACCCCTTGGAGCCAGGCAACTGCTCCCTCGCACACATCCCTTTGTATATGGTGTTTTTAACTCAAAAAAACTTGAGTAATCGCTTGTTCTTCAATAATTTTGAATCTTGTTTCTCCTAAAACTCAAGAGAGAGGAACATATCCCTGGAATTTGTCAGCTAAGCTTAAATTAAAGTATATTCAGGGTTCAGGTACGCTAAGGCTACAGACCATGGTAATTCACAAGGAGTTTGCACACCTAGAAAGTAAGTTACATTGTATGCCAAGGTCAATGCTTAAAAATTCCCTGCTACTAAAGAGAGAAGGTGCCAAATTTCCCCTGCCCAGAGTGGGCAGTGGTGGGAGCAAGGGTAAGGGACAGAAAGGACAGGAGCATGCATCATTTAGAAAAACTAACAGAAATCGGTAGCATAGTGCAGGATCAAGAAAGCTGTGGGGAAAGCATCTTCCAAAATAGTTTTTCTGCAAATCTGATGACAAATAGATGCATAATTTATTGGACAACACCATTGCCTAATTTAAGAGAAACAAGACATATAACAATATAAACTACTGAGCGAAATAACCACAATTATTTTTTCAGGTGGTAATGGTGTCCTAGCTCAGAGCACACTTCCTTGTTCTTTAAATACCTTTTATTGATACTTGTGTAGACATTTTGATTTTGCATCATCCTTGAGTTGTGGAAAAAAAAGAATTTATTCTAGATTGACTCACAGTCAAATAACCAATACTGGAAAAACAGGAAAAAGGAGGAATAACTGTGGTCTGTGGATTCTGACGTTTGTTAATAGACCTAACATGCCTGTTTGGGAAAAGTAAAAGACATTCAGATGATACCAAAAAAATTGTCCCTACGCTAGAGAACTTGACGGTAGTTCAGTTTCAGAGACCTTCAAATCAAACTCAAAAACAAAAGAAAATTTTTAACAGCATATAGCCATTAAGGGCTGTTGACATTAAGTGAAAGATAAAACCCAAAATACCCATTACAACTTTAAGATGTGAATGCATATTAGACTTTCACCTGGGGAAAAAATTAGCATTTAATTCTCAAAATACCAAATGCTAAAGATCCGTTTTATGTTGGTGACTTTTTTTTTTTTCTATTTTTTAAAACAAGGACCTTCCCAAAGCAAATTGTGAGATACGCCTTCTGGAACTTTTTCAAAGCAGCCAAAGGAGTAAACCACTACAGCATAGAGTCATCCTTGACTGAACAGAGATATATATTGCAGGGGAACAGCAGAGGAAATGAAGGGGACGAGGGATTCTAACCAGACTGCTTTTGGAAAGCACTGAATAAACAAATCAAACCTGAATTAAAAAAGGCTTTTAAGGTACTTCTCTTTTCCCAAATAAAAGGGAAAAAGAAGGTGTAATGAAGCGGAGTACAAACACATCATGCTCTAGACATAAATCTGAACTCAGTACATTATCTATCCCATCATGTATATACGATGAGAGGAAAGAAGCAAACATCTGGAATGTGCAAAGAAAGATGAAAGGCATCCAAGCCCATACGTTCTACATTGAAACGAGAATGTTTACATCAATTTTGGTCTAGGATAATCTTTTCAGACCCATTAACTCACTGACTTGCCAAGTTAGGTGACCTCAACAGTAAAGGCTGCTCTCTAGCAGTGGTAAGAGCTTCAGGTTTCCAGGAAAAGAGCATTCATTGTACGGAATATATGGTGTATGTGACAATGATATGTACAAGTAGCTGCCGCATGTGTGTGATAACAGTTAAAAGGAGGCAGGGAAAGGTTGTCATTTGCTATGGAAATGGACTCCTCCGCTAATATCGCAAAGATTTATGAGCCCTTAATCAGCAGGCATTAAAGCACTGATGAGAAAAGCAGCATAACACAGGCAAAGCTCTCCAAGCTTCCTGCTCAGCTCCTGCAACCGTAAAGATTGTGCAGTGACACAGAGGCTGGCTACTTAAAGTCTTTACGAAAAGATTCCAGTGGCCTTGTCAGATAACTGTATTTTACACTTTCATTCACAGCTTTGGAATAGATCACGTCTCTTCCTTTCTTCAGGCATCTCAGAAGGAAGAAAAAAGAAGATAGCGTATGTCGCTTTGCAATAGAGCTCTATTTTTGTCCAATGTATAATGAAAAAGACGTTAACTATGTTCAAACTGGTGAGTTTAAAGCTTGCATATGTGGTTGACAAAATGCACAAATCATACTTTCATCTGCATAACTCAGCCTAGCTATTAAAAAGACCCCACAAACCCTGTGATCAAGCAGTCTATACAATGCGCTCATGTGTCACTCACAGAATAAGATATGGAGGCGGGATTCCCTTCTTTCCTACCCGTTCTCCTGTCTCTGTACCATTTGATATATTCTCTAATGCAGTTTTGCAGGGTCTTATCTGAAGGTGGAGACCGAAGACTTTTTTTTCCAAGGAATGGCACTTTGTAAGAATACATCTTATCTGATGCATAAGTTCGACATGCAAAGATAAATTGTTTACATACTGTTAAAGATAAACCTTTCTGAAGCCTGCTGTTTCTGTGGGCCATATGTTTGAAAACTTTTACCCAAAGCATGATTATTTTTCTGCCACAAGAGAGTTGCTTTGCTTCCTAATAAGAATCAAGGTTTTGGAACACAGTTTCTCAAGGGCAAGTTGGTTTTTTGGTTTCTTTGGGTTTTTTGTTTGTTTGTTTGTTTTTTTAACTAACAAGCACTGGTGAAAGCTGTATTCCAAGTATTTGGGGAAACTGGATTAGTAACTGAATATTCACATTTGCATATGCACATACATATTTCTCTCTTACATGGCTAACAGCTGTGCAGAGTACTGTCTTTCCAAGAAATCATAACAAGATGCTTGTCAATGAGATTTCCACCAAGGAACCTCATTTTTATGTTTTTTTCCTTTCTCTTCATAAACTATCCCATTGTTTCTGGTTGCTTGAGCATTCCCATATTTAATCCTGTGCTATACAGTCCT